TTTTTTTGAAAAATACGTGTTAAGTTTAATAATTTTCAAATATATTCTAAAAATCTAACAATTCTTTTTTTAAATATTATTTTCGGAATTAGAATTAACTAAAAAATATAAAAAAAATAATTTTTTTTTTAAAAAGTCCCATTTTTTTTTAAAATCCATGAAATATTCTAATAGAATATTACACTGTACATACTCTAAAAAATAATTTTAAACTGCAAAATAAAAGGAAAAATCCAAAAATTCTTTTTTTTTGAAATATTATTTTCGGAACTTGAATTAACTAAAAAAAATAAAAAAATAAAAATAAAAAAATACGTCTCACGGTCTCACAAAATTAGGCCGTCTTACATGAGCCTAACCCTATATTTTTCCAAATAAACCTTATTTACAAAAACGCCACTTGGTATCTCGACCATTCCTTTTTTGATCCAACGTTCCACCTTTAATTATCAGGTTCTCGGAAAACTTTGAGTTCTCAAATGATTATATATATATATATATATATATATATATATATTATATATATATATATATATAAAATCATTTAAGAACTCAAAGTTTTCCGAGAACCTGATAATTAAAGGTGGAACGTTGGATCATAAAAGGAATGGTCGAGATGCAAAGTGGCGTTTTTGTAAATAAGTAGACAAAAAAAGGAGTGGTATCTTAATTAATTCATTCAGGGGTATTATAGGAATAAAAATAATTAAATGATTTCTTAAAAGTAATATATGATAAAATAAATTTTCATCTCTCTCTCCTCCCACTTTTCCTCTATCGCTCAAACCTACGATTCATCCTCCGACGACTCACCTCCATCGAATTGCCTTCAATCATTCATCTATTTCCATGCTTTCGATTCTGAAATTGCTTCTACTCACACGAATACGTTAAAGATAAACGACAAACCACATTTATCGTCAATATCTAGATCCCAATCGATCAAACTATCATCATCGATCATCAATCTATATGAAATATGAAATCTCCCAACGATTGAAGTTTCATTGTTGCTGAACTCCTTGATCTCACATTCTTCATAGGAAGAACTCCACTGAAGACGCTATGATTTTGAATCGTTTTATCAACCATCAATTCGTTCCCCAGAAGACACCGTAATCACTAACTTCATCTCGGCCTCCACTGTGGATTGAAAACCTGAATGAAGAAGATGATCCCTTGTCGATCGAAATTTAGGTATCATTTCTTTATATTTTTGACTCATGGCCTTTGTTTGACCTTTATGAATTGTTTTTGCCTAATTGTTAAATTGAACTAGTTTAATGAATATATCTTTAAAAAGAGTTAAATCCTTTTGTTGATTGTAGGTATAAAAATAGACACTTGTGTTATTGAAAAATATAGATATTTGTTTACACTCAACATGTTCGATGAAATGCCTAAATGAGAAATATCACATGTTAACTTCACTTGACTTCATGAATGATGAACCAATTCCAATTTAGGATTTTGTCCAAGTCAACATCGGAAATTTCGATGAACTTGTTGCCAATAAAGCCATCACACAGGTACTAACTATATCATTCTACCTAACGTGGCTGAAATTTGAGTTATTGTTTTTTTTATAGTGATGTATGACTGGATACATCTTCATGATATTCATTAAATATGTTAAAGGGTTAGTGTCTTGATACATTAATCCTAGTTTTTTTGTACAATTCCTAATCAGATCAAATATACTGTTTTGTTTTTACAAGATTTGCCTCAGAAATTTCCAGGTCACCCTGCTCTAGATGAAGGTGTTAGAAATGTTTTGAGATGTTTACTCATCGCATATGCTCCCCATAACCCCTCTGTTGGTTACTGTCAGGTCAACATTCAATTCATTTGACAACTAATATTGTATATTTTTTAGATATTCTTATAGATTATGTGAAATGTAATGAAATTGCTTAATGATGCTAATCTGTTGTATTACATTCAGGCCATGAATTTTTTTATTGGCTTATTACTTCTTCTAAGGCCTGAAGAAATTACTGCCAACAATTTTTCTTAATGTTTAGATTTCTAGGTACTAAACATTTCTCTAACTTTCGGATTTTAAGGGATCATTAACACTTCTAATTTTAAAATCTGAATTTTTTAAATTAATTTTAATTAATTCTAAACATAATTTGTAAACATGACCGATTTTATTCCGTTAGAATGAATTTTTGTTTGAATGATGTTCTTTCAGAGTTTAATTCTAGTAAAATATTAACGAAGAATAACAGATCTCTTGAACTCCTAGTTGAAGAATAACAACATTTTAATATTTTGATATACATTTGAACTTAAATACAAATTCATACATATTCTTACATACTAATAGCCTTCTACATTGTAATATATTTATACATATTCTAAAAGAATATCATTAAAAATCAGCATTCTTGAATATACAGTTAATGAATAAATACAAGTGTAATTCTTAAAAAATAAGAACATTCTTAAACTGTGAGTGTCATCAATCTTTGGCTTATTCTTCAAATCATTCTTATCAGGTCTTCAAGCCATTCTTCCGACCATGCCTATCACAAATGCAACAAAAACTAATAATGGTTAAAAACATGTTGCTTGCAATTCCTATTAATTTATACATTCTGGGAGAATACATATAATTCATTCCGGTATAATATACATAACATAATCTTGCATAATACATAGAATACAATCTCGCAGAATACATAGAATAAAATCTGCTAGTTATAACTTTACATGCCACTATAAAGAATTAAAAGCATGTGATTTTCCATTTGCAATCGTATTTCGCTATATATAAACATTCTAAAGCATAGAATTTATAAATGCATTCTGTCAGAATTACTATAATGTTACTTGCAATCCCTAGCATTTTATATATTCTGGAAGAATACATAAAATATGATAGAATACATAGAATATATTCTGATAGATTACATAAAATTTGCTACTAAATCAAGATTATAAAATTGTGAATAGTGGAACATGTTAAGTTTAATAATTTTCAAATATTAGAATGTTAGATTTTGATATTTTCCACATATTGCTTATTTAATCAGGTGATTACAAATGCTTTTGAGAAGAGTTTTCTCATTCATACAATGTTTAAGTTCTAAAATGTCTCAAATTTGTGAAAATCTCTTATAAACCCTTAATCAAATCTTCACCCTAAATTGATTGAAAAAATCAAATGCCAATAGCAAAGACTGATGTTACTCAGGTAATTAACAAATAAGGAGTTAATAAAACAACAAAAAAACATATCAAAAGGTTTAATGAAGAAAATAAAAGAAATACTCTTTGAGGCATTTCTACAAACACCTGGCATGCAACATAGAAATCAAAATTTCTTTCAGGCCATTTCTACAACAAAGCTGCCAAATTCTCTTTGAGGGATTTCTACAAACATCCATCGATTCTTAATCAAACGAACACCTATGTAATTCTGCCAAATCAAACAAGAACAAAAAGAAAAGAATGAGTCTTTACCTATTGATTGAATCATTGTTGAACAGCTTCCTCCATCACCGATTCCACCCACCTGCCGATTGCCACCACCCCATACGACTTACTGTCGCCTTACAACTCCCAATTTGCAACCACCTTTGTGTTTCAAGACAATCGGGCCAGAAGAAGAATGGAGCCGAGGGGAGCAGCCCTGCGCTGCTGGCCTCCCTCCATCGCCTATGCTAGCGATCCACCAGCACCACCGAGCCCTCACTTCTAGCCTCTTTCCGATCATAATAGGCCGACGAACATGCAACTGTGAAAGAATCGATTTCTGGTGGAAAGGAGGAATCGAGGTATCGATGATTTCTGGTGGAAAGGAGCAACTGAGATATTGATGATTTAAGGAAGCCGATGTACTCTTTAAGGTTAGGGATGTGGGCTTTGTAGGGTTAAACTAATTAAGGAGATATTCGTTGAATTATTTTTTACCATAATTAGATATAGGAAGTTTACCATTATACCATTTTTTAATTTATTTAATGATTTATTATTCTTGAATTCTCATTAGTGCATTTAATCACACACTATTTGCTAAAAACATTTGAACCTAACTCTCTCTCTCTCTCTCTATCTATATATATATATTAATGAATTTTCGTATTTGTTGACCAAAAATAGTCTTAGTGTTAGATGGAGTTAAGGTGCAAAGCTGTCATGTTTATTTAGCCTTACATATTGCAACATATATTGTTATTCATCTGTGTATCGTTTGCGAGATTCGATAAGCCCAGATACTGTTCCTCTAGGATGCGGCTACTTGGATTCCTTAAAAAATTGTATCTCTCATGACAACCTTTTGGGAATGTCCACTAGCTAACAAATTTAACCCTTTTCGTTTGTCAACCCTTTAACCATATATAGTAATGGAAACCTTAGTCACGATGACATCTGCCTGGATTATTAAATCCTACCGTAGTATCGTATAATCACAATATGAATGTTTCTTTGTCCCTCAAACGCCTATATAAACTCTTGACGACTACAAAAATATATCAATAAAACAACAACAAAAATCGTTTTCGTTTCGAGAGAAATATAAGTTACAATGCCTGAGATCGAAGGTTCTCCGGGCACCTCGATGCATGGAGTCACCGGCCGGGAACCAGTGCTGGCGTTCTCTGTTGCGTCTCCGATGGTGCCCACTGATACGACGGCGAAATTCGACCTCCCCGTGGACTCTGAACATAAGGCAAAAAGTGTTTAAGCTGTTCTCATTTGCAAACCCTCACATGAGAACCTTCCATCTCTCGTGGATCTCTTTCTTCACCACTTTTGTCTCCACCTTTGCGGCGGCGCCACTCGTTCCCATCATCCGGGACAACCTGGATCTCAATAAAGCTGACATCGGGAACGCCGGTGTTGCCTCCGTTTCCGGTAGTATCTTCTCGAGGCTGGTTATGGGTGCGGTATGCGACTTGTTGGGGCCTCGTTACGGCTGTGCTTTCCTGATCATGATGTCAGCACCTACCGTCTTCTGCATGTCTTTTGTCAGCGACGCTAGTGGCTACATAGCGTGAGATTCATGATCGGATTTTCTTTAGCTACGTTCGTTTCGTGCCAATATTGGATGAGCACCATGTTTAACAGCAAGATCATTGGGCTGGTGAACGGGACGGCGGCTGGGTGGGGGAACATGGGTGGTGGAGCCACGCAACTCCTGATGCCGGTGTTGTTTGAGATCATCAAGAAGGCCGGGGCAACGCCGTTCACGGCTTGGAGGATTGCGTTTTTCATACCAGGGTGGCTTAACGTAATCATGGGGATATTTGTGTTGACTCTTGGTCAAGATTTGCCTGATGGTAATCTGGGTGCTCTTCAGAAGAAGGGTGATGTTGCCAAAGATAAATTCGGCAAGGTAAACCTTCATATCTAATTAGCATTAATCATTAACCATTCATTTATCGTATACGTATGTTCTTTGTCTCTAATTTGTTTCTCGTTTGTAGGTATTGTGGTATGCTGTGACAAACTATCGAACATGGATCTTTGTACTTCTCTACGGTTATTCCATGGGTGTCGAGTTGACCATTGACAATGTGATCGCAGAATACTTCTATGACAGGTTTGGATTTGTTTTACACTGCACAAAAGTTTAATTATACATGTGCAATTAAATAAATCCATTGAAATATCTACAGATTTGATCTAAAGCTTCACCTTGCCGGAATCATTGCGGCCTGCTTCGGAATGGCAAACCTCCTAGCTCGTCCATTTGGTGGGTTCACATCGGATTACATGGCCAAACGATGGGGAATGAGAGGTCGACTCTGGAACCTATGGCTACTCCAAACAGCTGGCGGCGTTTGCTGTGTCTTCCTAGGCCTAGTAAACTCGCTACCATTAGCCATCACCTTTATGATGCTCTTCTCCATCGGTGCACAGGCAGCATGCGGAGCCACCTTCGGCATCGTTCCCTTCATTTCCCGGCGATCAATGGGTATCATCTCTGGTATGACCGGTGCCGGAGGGAACTTTGGATCAGGACTAACCCAATTGATATTCTTTGCGTCTGCCTCATTCTCGACTGCCAAAGGGTTGTCTTATATGGGTATCATGATCATACTTTGTACACTTCCTGTAAGTTTTGTTCACTTCCCACAATGGGGAAGTATGTTTCTTCCGGCCAGTCAAGACATCGTCAAAGGTAGTGAAGAGAATTATTATGTTGCTGAATGGACGGAGGAGGAGAAACAGAAAGGGATGCACCAAGCAAGTCTTAAGTTTGCCGAGAACAGTCGGTCCGAGCGTGGAGGGAAGGTGGCATCGGCTCCAACACCACCCAACGCCACCCCCAATTATGTTTAATTTCGAGTAATTCTAAGGATGCTCATTTTTTGTTTTCTGAGCGACAGTTAATGCATTTAATCTCAAAATGCTTACCATTTCACTGTAATAATTGTGGTGCCCTATATATATTTCTAGGTATATATATATATATGTTAATTATCATGTCAGTAACATTAGATTTTGTACAATTTCGACCAAGTCAACGGAGATAAATATCATAATCATAAGATAATAGTAATAATCTCCAACGGTTATTGTATATGCTGATTGATGATTAAATAAGAACTCAAAGTGGTCTCTATAGAAGGAAGAGAGCAAACCAAAACGGGAAACAAACAATTATTTGGAAGAAAAAAAAAAAGTCTTCCCTCTATATTCGGTGAAAGTTAAGTTTAACGTTATTTAAAGTTAACTAGAGTTTGGGATTTGTTTGGAAATGGTTAAATGAGAACATTTGAAACAATGAGAACATAAGAACAAATATGTTTATTTTTTATTTTATGTATTTATTTGTAAAGAAATCATAAATTTTTACGTACAATCAATATTAATATGTTTTTTCTCTTCAATTGAAATTAAAAGCGTAAAAATTTATCATTCCTCTACAAACGAATATATGGAATCACAAATGAATATACTTTGCTCTCGCGTTCTCAACTTTTTTGGTGTTTTCATTTAATTGTAATATATATATATATATATATATATATATATATATATATATATATATATATATATATATATATATATATATATATATATATATATATATATATATATAGGGAAAAATGAATATACCTTTAAGGGTATATAAGCTTAGGTACCCAAACTCACCATACTACGTCGTTTTGTATCATATATATACATTGTAATTGTCTAATGTTCTTATAATTCAACTTCTAACTTGATTTCATTCAAAGATTTTTATAAATTTCAGATTTATTTTTCTTTTCCATAATTTTCATTTTCAACTATAATATATATATATATATATATATATATATATATATATATATATATATATATATATATATATATATATATATATATATTCTAATTGATGTTCGTCAAAAAGATGTGATGTAAAATACGGTTAACTATGGTGTTACCGGCCCTGTAGGGTCAAATACGGTTAAGGGGCACAGCTGAACAATTTATGCCAATGTCGGACTAGCCCACTTGGTAGAGGTGGATGTCTCTTAGACAGGAGGTCTTTGGTTCAATCCTAGGCATAGGTGATTACTAACTTGGTGAATTTAACAACTAACTGGCCGTTCAAAAAAAAATGTGACGTAAGAAGAAGATAATAATGAAATTTTGAAAATCTTGAAAGTAAATCAAGTTAAGGATTGAAGTTGAAGAACATTATAATAAATATATCAAACAAAATAACGTATTATGGTGAGTTTGGGTACCTAAGCTTATATACCCTTAAGGGTATATTCACTTTTCTCATATATATATATATATATATATATATATATATATATATATATATATATATATATATATATATATATATATATATATATATATTCGGTGAAAGTTAAGTTTCAACTTCTATTTAAAGTTAACTAGAGTTTGGGATATATATATATATATATATATATATATATATATATATATATATATATATATATAATATATATATATATATATATATATATATATATATATATATATATATACACGGTGAAAGTTAAGTTTCAACTTCTATTTAAAGTTAACTAGAGTTTGGGATATATATATATATATATATATATATATATATATATATATATATATATATATATATATATATATATTCTGTGAAAGTTAAGTTTCAACTTCTATTTAAAGTTAGCTAGAGTTTGGGATTCGTTATTAACTATATATATTGTTAGCTTACATGTAACTAAACAAAACATATACATATTGTTAGCTTCCATGTAACTAAACAAAACGTAACTAAAAACAAATATAGATTAGTTTGTACGCAACTAATTAAAAAAACCTATACAATCTATTTTTGATAGCGTTTGTCGATTCTCTCTTTATAAATGTTGATTAACTAAATAGGACATTCTAGTATCATTGACTTATTCACACATATACATAATGATTTATTTTTAGCATTAATAGTAATACTTATTTAAAAATTTTATCAATTAAATATAATATTATTGCTAACAGTTTGTTTTTGTCACTAATAATTAATGACACGTTCAAAAAATTTATATTAATAACAGAACTCAATATATAGTATCTTTGATAATTATTTATTTATAATGTTGCACAAATTATTCCTACGGTTTTAATTATATATCGCTAAGGTTTAAACTTTTGAAGAATTATAAATTTTGTCATTTGAAAGAGTCTTTTAACTAAATTATAAGGATCATTTCTACATTATTTTTTTTAATTTTATTGAAATAATATATATTAAAAAATATTATTTTTCATAAACAATATTCATTTAATAATAAATATTCTTTTTTCGAATTATTAATTTGTTTAATTAATTTTTTTTACTTCCTCTTTTATTTGATTTTTTATTTGATTATTATGTATTAAGAATATTATTTTTTAATATTTATATATTAATAAATATTGTTTTATTTGATTAATAATTTCTTTTAATTTATTTTTTAATTCGAGTGATTTTTTTACTGGATCGTTATATATTAATAAATATTATTTTTAACATATAATAATTATATCCTAATAAATATTTCATTATTGGATAATTAATTTTATTTAGTTAATTTTCTTTTGTTTTGGATTAATTCTTTTTTATTGGATTATCGCTTTTAATTTATTTTTTGTTTAATAAATAATATTTTATTAGATTATTAGTTTATTTCTAACGTATAATATTAATTCTTTTTAATTTATAAATCTCACCTCAAATTCAACAAAATACGCAAAAACATCGTCCTTTATCATTTGAAATCCTTGGGATCACTATCAAACACCTTCATCGAAGGTCCGATGGAAACTCCACTAACCTTTTCCACCCAACTCCCGATAGCCACCTACAGCAACCCCATCACCATCACCTGGTCACCACCACCACATAGAATATTTACATGAGTTTGTTGTGCATTGTGTAGGATATGGAGAATTCTGATAGATTTCCAAGAAGATATAGCAGGTGGCTTTTAACACCCTGTTTGTTAAATAAATAAATAGATAAAAATTAATATGAATAGTAGCCCTGAATACAAAATAATTTAAAAGTTGAGGGTTAAAAGTGTTTAGGATTTGCTTCGAAAATATTTATGAAGGCGGGGGCTGAATGGTAACATATGTAATTCATTTGAGAATAATTTGTAGAGGAGGTGCAGAATGGTAACTTTTGGAGCTGATTTGAAAAATATCCTAAGGAGGAGGGACTAAACTTGTAAAAATGGGCAAAGGTTTGATTTTAAGCGGGACTTAAACCCGACATCTCCTTTCCTCCTGTTAGATTACCTAAACCCTAACGCTATCTACACTTTCAGCCGCCATCTTCATTACTCTCGTTTCAACCGTCGCCATTGCTTTGCCAATGGACGTCGCCGCCACTGTTCCACTACGGGAGACGTTGAGTGTGGCTCTATGACCATTGGAGGCCGATGAACGGAACCTATCCGCTGTTATTTGGTCGTGAGCGACCGAGAATCGTTGGGTAACACCACCTGCTATGACAACCCGAAACTTTTATCCTGCGCAATTGATCCATATATCAATATTAAACTCAAATTTATCATCTTTTAACGAAATTGTGGGTCCGTATGAGTGTTGTAGGCTTAGTATAACCTAAAAATAAGTCTTAAGAAGGATTAGAAATTGTGTAGCATCACAAAATCAAGCCAATCACACCAAAGAGGGTGTGTGCGGCCGCACACCCAGCCACACACACACACCCAACCACACACCTGACCCTATATATAGGAGATGAACCCCTTCCATTCACTTTTTCTTCTTTGGCTGCACACTACTCTCTCTCTCTACTTTCTCTCTCTAAAAATCTCATCCAAGAACACTCTAAGGGCCTAAAAAACGTGAATAACCCCATCATCTAGCTTTTTATATAGGTAAAACACCTAAATCTAAGACTGTAACTCTTCATGTTCTTCGTGTTCTTCATCCTTTGAAGGAATGCAGCTGCACACCTTCATAAGGTCGCCGCACACACATCAAAACTCTCCAAAGTGAAGAGTTTGGCCTCCATTTACTAGTTAGACTTGGTTTTATCACCTGGACACCTCAAAAATCGAGATTTCGGGCACAAATGAGGAGTGTACGGCCGCACACTCTTGTGTACGGTCGCACACTCCTGTGTGCAGCCGCACACGTAGTCTGGGCGCACATCCTGGCCGTACACTCACTTTTATGGCCATACACCCACTCTAATGCTTATATTTGGCGTTAAACTTGCAAAGATCACTAAGTGTAGGACCTAGAACACTTAGTGCAAGCATTTCTAAGACCTTATGGTGGTTTTCCATCATGGTTTGTCATGGAATACTTAATCTAATACATATATGTGTGATATATGTTAATAGGGTACACACGCATACAAAACATCGGTTGACACTCGACGCTCATAACCAATCGAACATTCTGATCCTACAATAAATTGTGAGTTCATACACCTACTCCTTTCTTAGTTTTTCATGTTTTCAGGGGGAATACAAGCTAAACATAAAAGGTTTTCATAACTTACAAACTGATGCAATTACAACGATTTTCTATCGAACGTTTAGATACAATTATCCCTTTTGTATTATGCGGAGGATAAGGGATGTTTTCAATTTATAATTGCATAGTTTCAAAACCTTACATGAACGTAACAACCATTCAAAATATAATAGGTATAGTTTGGGATTTCAGTACCAGTCTTCAAATTCAAACTTCATGCAAGTCAAGCATATAAACTGTGTCAGATTTAGTTTATGCATTACTACGAATACAAAACTAGAGTATCATGCTAAATAATTATTTTATGTATAATTATTTATACTCTACACCGTCACAAACAATTTCGAACTCGAGAACAACCGAACAAACACGTAAACTATTTAATACAGGATTGTGAAACTATCTTCGTTTTGCCCCTCGGGGTACCAATAAATCATTACTGGTATTATAACCAGAGTCTCCTCAAGGGAGAGCGTGGAATTTGTGAATAGATCAAATTAGTATGGTTACACGACTCACAATAAGTATAAACTACTCATTG